GGACAGGAAAGGAAAGGTCCCCCACAAGAGGCGTCTGCTGCTTTAGGAAGGAGCGAGCGGTCCAGCAGGTGCCAGCAGGCCCTGGGGCAGAACTGTGTTCAGGCTTCTGTTCTGAGGCTCACCCTCTAGGCAGCCAGGACCATGACCCTGTGTGTCCGGCTGCTTTCACACAACAGAAGAGTTGAGAAGCTGCAGCAGAGACCATGTGGCCCACAAAGTAAAACATTTACTGTCCCACCTTTACAGAGATCATTTGCCAGCCTCCGTTTTAAAGGTGAGAGAGAACAGCTGTTTGGTTACATAGTCTGATGGGAGAACAGAGGGTCAGAGGTGGGAAAACTGCTTTTCCTCAGGGGCCAGAGGGGGGAATGGACAGTTAAGGGACAGAGAACTCCTGGTGTGGCTTCCACACTGGGCGGGGCTGGCACAGCAGGGAAGGCATCTTCCCCTGGAGGCCCAGGCTCAGCCCCATGGTCGTCCTGGACTTACTGTCCCCCAGGATCAGTTCCACTTCCTCGTCTGCATCAGAGTCTTCATCCTCCCCGTCCTCTCCCTCCTCCAGAAGGTTGGCCAGCTCCTCGTCAGAGGGAGAGAAGTCATTGTCCCCATCCTCCCCTGCGTTCTCGTTGTTGTCATCCTCCTCCAACTCCGCCTCCAGCAATTGGTCAGTGTCAAGGTCATCGAGATCATCAGTGTCATCATCATCTTCATCGTCATCTTCCTCCTCCTGCTCCTCCTCCTCCTGGTAAGAGAGCATTAGGTCCATTAGGAGGAAACAGAGGCCTGGCCGGGGAGTTTGCCCGACTTCCCTAAGGACGGGAGGGAACTGCCAGTGGAGAGAGCGGTCCCCGCGGTTAGCACAGACTTCAGGGCCAGCAGACTCATGGTGAGGCAGCCACCAGCATGTGCGTGGCCCCCTAGACACCAGACGAGGATGGCTACTTACTCCACGAAGGCATTACCGATCATGCAGCTCTATCCCAAGAAATAGGAAACTCGCTTTACAGAGGCCTCTGCCACTGACAGTGTGGGCTCCTGGCTAGTACCCCCAAAGGGGCTGGCTCTTCTCGGTCCTGCACCAACCGAACCAAGTGAAATCCGAGGCGGCACTGGAACAAAAGCTTCAACCCCTGGAATCTACCTGTTCTTCTACCTAACAACACAGGAAGAACACAGCTGCTGAGCCATCAGCTCCTCAGCCCTTCACATTCTTGCCAAGGACGTGGGTAGACCTGGAACAGTGCTATCATAAGCAGCGCCTGAACCAAACAAAGCAGACATTCACCGTCCGGACGCTCACAGATAACCCATGTTCTGTGCTAGAGAAACTCCACGCTTGTATTCTGCCAGATTTCGACTTTGCGCTAGTATCCAGTTTCCCTTCAAGCAAGAGAGGACACAGCGCCTCTTAGCCTCTTAGCTTTGACAGAGACGACAGGTGTTTCCAAGTAAATGTCATTAACAGTCACTTATCCTCCTGCTCAAATATCAACAGCCAGCTTGGCCGGTAGGAAAAAGATTCTACTTCCTGCAATAATAAAATATAAAATCCATTTACTCCAGCAGCCAGCTCACCGCATTCTCCCTCCTCCTGCCATCTCCAGTCTCTACAGCTCTCTGCGACCTTATCCCTTCCAGAGGCTCCATGACGCTGCCCATCTTCCAGAATTACAGCAAAGCAGTGACTGCTCACTGACCATCTAATACCAACTTCATAGAATCCCAATTTCTTGTTAAGTGAGGTGGCTCTGCTCAGGTGTAAGCATCAGAATCACCTGGGAAACGTTTTCCAAAACACACATGCCTAAACCACACTCAGGGTCCACAGGGCCAGTCCTTACAAATGAAGCTCACACAGGCGGAGTTGGAAAGGCTCCCCAGGAATGGTGAAATGGCCCAAATGAAGAGCCAGAAGCACAAGATTACCTCTGAGTAATTCTACTTTTCTTAATAATAGGTACCCTACCCACAGACCCCCCTCCCCCAATGACAGAACCTAAAACGTGAATCCAGGTATTACCACGGACTTTCTCTGCTACATCGAGCTGTCCTGTTCTCTAGGACTTAAACAATGTCATCTTTTAAATCAAAATTCTTCGTGAATATATGTCTATTCAAAAGAAATAGCTTTTAGCCTATATTCCCTTCAAAAATATAACCAATCCCTTAGAAAAATAAACGTCTGGTCATACTTTAAGATGTGAATCTAAAAATGAGAATAGCAGAATAACTTTTCTAAAAATGTAACTCAAACCCAAGCCTACGTTCTTAATATTTCAACATGTCATATTTTGTAAAACTTAAACTCCTGCTTTTCCTCCTTTTGACATTTGTCCTGGTGTTAACTGTCCTTAAAAGCTAAAAGTTCATTTCAGTTGTAAATGCTTGTGTTTTCTCTCCTCACTGACAGAATCTAACGTACATTTTAAACTTTTTAAAAGGAAAAAAAAGGCAGCCTTTCAGGTGTCCCTGACCAGGCTTACAGCAGGAGCATGACCCACGAACACGCCCCACCGCTCCTGGCAGTAGGAGCACCCAGGAGGCACAGCATGCAGTGGTCCCGGGTTCCAAAATGGATGGAGAAAAAGAGTATTAGCCCCCTTTTAATATAAAATTAAGATTATAATTAGTTGAAAAGTACTGGCTTTTCAAAATCTAGGAACAATGATCAATTATTAATCTTTGATTTTGTAATTTTCCTAAAAGCCAACATCAAAGTTGGATTGAATTGATTTTTAAAAACACAAATACCAAAATTCCAGTGGATAGCAGGAGCTTTGATAAGTGGCTGGCTTATCTCTGCTCTTATCAAATGCCTGAAGGCCAGCAGCCTAGCAACCTTACGAACCAAAGACTATAGCTGTCAATTCATACAGGCATTTGTGCTGGGCCATTTTATCAGATGGCAGCTGACCAGTCAGGCTTCAGAGTTTATTTTGCTGAGGTGAAAAGGCAAATTCAAAGGTGCTCCTCACAGGTGCCTGCACCCCTAAGCGATTTAAGTCACACCTGGGACACCTGAGAAGACCTGCGAGCGATACCCAGACGAGGACAAAACTTTAAATAGCAAATGACTCATATGAAAATTAAGACCCGTTTTAAGATCAGGTGAAGCGCACACAGGAAAGGGGAGAAGTGGTGAGGAGAAATGTGCTGGAGACAATAAATGCAGCAAAACAACTGCGTGTTCTCGGAGGGCATGTGAGTCAACGGAATTAAGAAAACTTGCTTAAATAGACATGGTCTTGCCCAACTGGCGTGGCTCAGTGTTTGAGTGTCAACCTATGAACCAGGAGGTCACAGTTCAATTCCCAGTCAGGGCACAAGCCTGGATTGCAGCTCGATCCCCAGTAGGGGTGCAGGAGGCAGCCAATCAATGATTCTCTCATCACTGATATTTATCTCCCTCTCTCTCCCCCTATCCCACTAAAACTTCTCTAAATCAAAACACCAAGGACTTCAGGGTGAAATCAGTTTCAAATGATGTCCTTCCTGTGAAATGGACCTGGTAGCAGTAGGTAGGAAATGTGCCCGGACCCTGCGCAACGCAGAGGCAATGCTAACTCACCCCACTGCTCGCCTACCCCCACGCCTCGTCTCCACGCTGGAACGCTCGCAGGCTCCTCCAGACGGGGCCTAAGGCCACTCGTTAGGGCCCTCTGGAGCCTGCTGCTCTTGACCCTCACTGCCCATGCCCAGGACGCTTCCTTTTCCTTCCTGCCTCAGTCGCCAGTGGGCAGCGTTTACAGAGCAGGGGCAGGCTGGAGGAGAGCACTGGCCAACAGGAAGGTGAGCTTCCTAGTGTCCTGCAGTGGCCCCTCTCCCCACCCAGAGCACCTCTGCCCTTAAAGAGACGACAAGCACCAAAACTAAGCACCACCACAGCGGAAGAAAAAAACCAAAAGGAACCCAAAATCTGGAAAGAAGACATTTACCAGCCTTACTATCTGCAACAAGAAAGCAAAGCCCTGTCATTTACTTTAAACAGGAAAGATCTGCCGAAACTCTTTGGAACTGATACTGACACTCTGCAGGCCAGCCCCTGGCACCTGACCATAAACTAATCCCCTCAGAAAGGAAAAGCTCACATTCCCTGGGGCATCCTACCCACTCAGAGTTCATAACTGTTTAATTTCGCACAAGCACCGAAGTCGTCTCTGTACCTAGAAGCTCTCCTGTTATTCTGAAAGTGGACTGCGCCACAGAACTGACGTCGGGAAGTCAGCCAGGGCACTGGTCCTAACTCACAGTGGCACGCACAGGACCATCGGGTGCTGGTTAATGTTCTGTAATAAAATCTTCCTTCTGACTTTCAGGGATCAAGGGCACATGCCAGGCCTTCGGAATATGCCAACAGGTAGCAAAGGCTGTTCTTTAAAACCCCTGTAGCGAAAAGCAGAAGAGCATGGCCTCTCTAAACATTAGGAGAAAGAAACTCAAAGACACTGACCTGGTCCTCCTCCTCGTCCTCGTCCTCTGCCAGGCGCTGCCTGCCCACTTCGTACAGCCTGCACACTGTGTCCATGTTGAGAGCATCCATGCTGCTTTGGTTCTGAAACAGAGCACCCAGTTCACAGGGAGTCTTCAGAAAGCCCGCCACACCCCACACCTCGGCTCTGCCTGGCACCCGTGCACCCTGACCCCACAGCTATCAAAGGCCCCAACACCCCAAATTCTTGAACTGATTCTAAAAATGTAATACCTAGGACATAGAGAAGAAATGAAAAATAGGACAAGAAGGCTGGGCTAGTGAGGAATATAAACACGAGAGACCACCATGCTTGGAACAAACCTGTCTGGCTCTGGTGAGAGGCAGACACCTCTAAAAAAGCGTGACATGAATCCAAGACAGTAGGAGACAGGACTCTCCATGCTGTTTTATATTAGCATTTTCTTATTCCTCTTATCCTGCAGATCTCCCAAACCCCAGCAAATGAGGTTATCAATAACCTCCCCTCAGGAATGCAGCCACTTTATAACATAGCTCACATCGATCCACATTCCTGTGGGGCAGTGATCCTAAACATCCCAACCAAAGAGCAGGCTTCTGAAGCGCCTTTACCTCGATGACAGCCAGGTAGCAGTCCTTGGTGTCTGTGCACAGGTCGAAGATGTTCCGCTTCACATCGATGGTCGCTGGAAAACAACGTGACAAGGCTCGGGACTGGACTGTTGCTGTGACCTTAAAACCCGCTTTTCCTCTCAAGGAATTCAAGGCGATTGGTCACAAATATTTCCATAACTCCTCTGCTTTTCAATGAAAATTACATCATCAAAATATAACAAAACAATCAAGGTCTGCCCCTTCACGCTTACCTATAGGTTTGTAGTCAGTTGCGTTAAATGTTCGGAAGGATGATCCAAAAGGGCTTTTCATCCTCTCTTCCATTAAGTCATCTTCATCATCTGCCTGCAGCATAGCTGGTGGGGAGGAAAGGGGGAAAGAGCAGGGGAGGGCAACACTATTAGAATCAAAACATCCCCTATTCACAGGTGTCCTCCTTGCAAATCCCAGCGAACAGCAAACAATATCCTTAACCTTTCGTCTAGCTCCCAACAAGTGGTAACAGGGTGAAGGTGGACAACATCACAAGACAACAGATGCAAAGCTTTTTCTTTAAGTTCATGATACACATGGGAAATCACTGCGTGAAATTTCTTTCTATACAAGATTTACTTATCTTCAAAGTCAGTGGCCTCTTACCCTAAATCAATATATTTTTCATCTTCTTTTTGTCATCATTTGTGTATCATTTTATCTTTTATACCACAACTTTCAAATGCTTTCCAATTCACATTTGAGAGCATTTTCCAAAAAGGAAGTATCAAACTAAGTGAGGGGGGAGCGAAGGGAGAAAGAAAATAACAAAGAAAGTAAAAAGTTTATTACCTCCATACATCACTGTCCCCGTGTGGTTGAACACTACTCGGCACTGATCCAGAGCAGGAACTGTATGTAAAAGATGGAAAGTGCGAAGGTCCCACTAGGAGGGGGGTTGTCAAGAAAAACTTTTATTTTATTTTTTTAAGAAAAGCTACTTTATACAAAACTTCTTATCTAACAACCTGGTGGGAATTCTGAAATATTGCTTACCACCCTCCGCGCCCCTCCCCCCCCACTGGTATTGATGTTTTAAAAGTCAATGAGATCAGGGTAAAATAAAAGCATGTTATAGAATAATGTCCCTAAAAATCTCCTTCGGTATCCTCACATACATGAAAGCTACATGAGTTCCCTTCCTCTCAATAGAACTTCATTTTACTCTTACACCTACCAACTGACTTCTATAGAGCACAAGTAAATCCTTCTGAAGATAGATAAAAGTCACTTCAATACTTGGGAAAACGAAAAGCAGCAATCTGGTCAATTTTCACAACACAAGCACGCTAGTGAGAGTCATCGGAATTACCAACAGGGACGTGAGTGCTCTGGAGACACACTAGCACTTCACACCAAAGCAGAGGCACCAGTGTGACCTGTGTAGATACTTTCAGCAGGTATTGACAGGTATTGACAGGGACTCTCTATCACAAAGAGAGAAGTGGAAAGTAAGACCCGGGTATAAAGGATACAATCTCAGTATTAATGATGACCTCCAGCCCATTCGGATGGAAAACACCACTGATGTTCATGTTGAACTTGTCGAACTTGTGGATGGCCTGCGCAGAGCGGACATCCCAGAGGACGCCATCATTTAAGACCAGATCATCTGTAGGATTAAAGGTGGCACAGTTCCTCTTGTAGTTGTTGGCAAGATCTGGGTTAAACAGAGTCAACAGCTTGTTGCCAGTCTGAATATCATAAATCTTTAGAGAAGAAGGGGTGGGAAGAGAAAAATCAGACCAATCCATTCGATGACAAATTCAAAGAGAAGTTGTATAAAATATCTTTCCCATGCTTTCCAAAACCCACCAAAATTACAAAAGCCCTGATGTTATAACTGGAAAACAGGAAGACCACAACCATCATAGCCAAGTTTAAGTGCTTTGGTTCCCATTCAAGGTTTGAAGAGTCCTCACAGGGAGGACAATGAGAAGTGTGACTGCAAAAGGGAAGAGAAAACCACCTTCTTCCTCCACCCCCTTTCGAGAAACAGAACGTGTTTCTAAGATTGAAACTGAGAGATTCTCCATATGGACTAACCAGCAATTATCCACAGAGTATCTTAAGGGTAACTTTCTGGGAAAAGGCATTATTAATGAAGTACCCTTTTCTCCTTAAAATCTCCCAATGTACATACTTTAGCCCTAAATACTAAAAGTTCCAAGTCTACAATGTGCAGCCCATGTAGAGACCAGATCTTTCCCGTCAGCTTACAGACATGCTATAATATTTTCAATCTTTTTTTATTTTTTTTTAATATATTTTATTGATTGTTTACAGAGAGGAAGGGAGAGAGATAGAGAGTTAGAAACATCGATGAGAGAGAAACATCGATCAGCTGCCTCCTGCACATCTCCCACTGGGGATGTGCCCGCAACCCAGGTACATGCCCTTGACCGGAATCGAACCTGGGACCTTTCAGTCCGCAGGCCGACGCTCTATCCACTGAGCCAAACCGGTTTCGGCTCAATCTTTTTTTAAAAAATCCTCTAATATTGGAACAAATAAGGAGACACCACAGGAAACAAACAAATCCAGATCATGGGACAAGACAACTAGCCTGGTCTATTCAAAAGTCAATGTCATGAAAACTGGAGAAATGATTCTTGGATTTAAAACATTAGTGAGACACAACAACCAAATGCAACATGTGAATCTTGGCTGGATCCTGGTTCCCAAAAAAAACATTTGAAACCGAACATATCAGGAACAATCAGGAAAACTGAGTATGGAATGGATATTGGATGACATTTGGGAATTACTATGAATTTTCTTAACCTGGATAACAGAGTGTAACTATGTAAGAATGTCCTTACTGTTAGGATATACTAATATATGCTGTAAGACAGGAATAAAACATCATGATATTTGCAACTTACTTTCAAATGATTCAGAAAAACACACACATTTACACAGAAATATGGCTAATTATTAAACTGATGAATCTAGGTGACAGGTATATGTACTATTCTTTCAACTCTTCCACATATTTTAACACTTTCAAAAGTTTGGGAGAAATACTTCACCACCCCTAATCCCTCACCTCAAGCTACTACCCACCTCTCTGCTTTGTTTTCAGCAAAACACTTCAAAAGACCTGTCTATACGCAGTGCCATCTGCTTCTCTCCTCTTCTCTCATGAACCCACTCGAATCAGGTTTCTATCCCATGGAAACTTGCATAGAACTAGCTGCTGACATAGTTAACAATGACCTCCATGTTGTTAAGTCAAAGGTCACCTCTCAGTTCTCATCGTATGGAACTCGTCAGCAGTTTCTGACCCAGTCCATCCATCCTTTCTTATCTTCCAGGGCACACCTTTTTCCTGGGGTCTCCTGCTGCCTTACTGGATATCTGCATGGCACCCACACCTCCTTCAAGACAGCACTTAAGCACAACAGCTATCCAAGAGTAAACACAAGTACTCCACACACTAACAAGCACTCTCTACCATTTAACCTGCTTCCTGTTCTTCAGCAACACCTACCTGATACACCACTTATTTGCTTCTTTATTTACTGTCTCCCTAGTGAGTCCCATAAAGGCTGGGACTTTATTTCATCTAAAACTTAGTATTTTAACCAGTTAACTACCATGCATCCAAAACGAAAACCATTCCCACACACCACGATATTTTGAATTTAATTTAAAAAATCAATTTGCAATGAATATTATAAATATATTACTCACAATTCGGGTGTTCTTGAGTATTTTTAGCTGAAAATTCTCACAAAGAGTGACTTTAAAGTTGGTCAGAACTGCCACTTAGGGAAAACATTTTTTTATAGACACAGTGGCATGTGGAGAAGGTCCGCAGCTTGCGTCTACTGGCGCTTATGGCGTACAATGGGTTAAAGTCTCTGCTGTACTAATGACATCTTCTCAACTTGCCAGATGAAGTTCCTGTTCATTCTCTTTACATTTCGCCTGGACAGCTCAGAACTACCTACTTCCTTACACTTGCAGACCCGAACCAGAAAGACTCGTGGAGTAACTGCTAGTTGCCCCAGGACCTAAGTCCTCGCACTCAATCCAGAAGACTCAGTGCAAACAAGGGTCTAACAGTGTGAAAGCTGAGGGCTCAGGACTTACGTGGGCGATGTCTCCTTTTGTGCCGATGACGCGGTCCTGGGAGTGCTTACTGAACTCCACGTAGTGATCTTCTGTGAAGGAATGCCTGCGGACAGACAGAAGCACTCAGGCGGCCGCCTCAGGACATAATCACTCAACTGACTGAAAAGAAAGGTGATCCTCAGGCTCATGCCCGAGCACACTCACCTGGAGACTGTCACTCCCAGAGAGGAAAGTATCAGACACTTAACATTAAAAAGAAAATTCCCTTCATCCAAGCAGATGCAAAATCATCCATGGGAATTAGTTGATTAAAGGAATTGCTAACAGCCCTGCCGGTTTGGCTCAGTGGAGAGAGCACCGGCCCGCAGACTGAAGGGTCCGGGTTCGATTCAGGTCAAGGGCACGTACCTTAGTAGCAGGTTCCCCATCCCTGGACAGGGTGTTTCTCTGTCTCTCCCTCTCCCTTCCACTCTTTCTAAAAATCAATGGAGAAATATCCTCGGGTGAGGATTAACAAAAAAACAAAACAAAAAAAGAAATGACTAATAAGGCACATGTGCCTTTGAACTATGTCCCAGCAAAGTGTGCAGCTGTCACATGTAAATGGGAGAAAATAAATGATCTGCCATTTTGTTTTGGTTTTGTTTTGTTTTTAATATATTTTATTGACTTTTTTACAGAGAGGAAGGGAGAGGGATAGAAAATTAGAAACATCAATGAGAGAGAAACATCGATCAGCTGCCTCCTGCACACCCCCAACTGGGGATGTGACAACAAGCAAGGTACATGCACTTGACCGGAATCGAACCTGGGACCCTTGAGTCCACAGGCCAACGCTCTATCCACTGAGCCAAACCGGTTAGGGCTGATCTGCCATGTTGGATCAGGGAAGGATCTGCTGTGTGATGGGAATGTATACTCCTAGTCAGCATATCTAGGAATTAAGAAAGTTAAAACCTTATCTTACTAAACGTGAGCCACAGATGAGGAAGAGAGAAACTAGCAATAACTCACAGCATTTCTCTTTTCCCAAAGGCTCTAAGAATCGGATGAAGGGGGTTTAAATAGGTTAAACTATAAACACAGAGACTAGGTTGTACAAGTAGATACATACTTCATATCAAACACTGATTTCATTCCCCAAAGTGCAGACAGAGGCTGGCTCCAAGTAGCAGATGTCAGCAGCAAGGACCCGTCCTGAAAGAAGAAGGAGGCCCAACTTGGGGTTCACTATCTGCCATTAGCATTTTAAAATGCAATCTTAAAAATATAGTTGAATTACAAAGAAAAACTCCCAAGAACCAAGAAGTGGTCTGAAAGTGTGAGAATATATGTACATGCACCCTAAAAGTTACCTGCATTTAAGATAACACGAAGTCCTACTGAGCTAGTAATATAAAATAGCTAAGGTAAGAGGGGGAAACTTGGAAAGAGACCAAGATGGTTCCTCGTTTATTAATATTTGGCCATATTCCTCATCCTTGAAATATCAGTGAACTGAAAACATTTGCTACACTTTCTAGCCAGGACCCTTAAAGGTTTTTCAAAGAGAAAACTCAATAAAGGGTAAGCCTCCTTTACTCTAAAATCAGGAAAATTATTCTGTCATCCTAATAGTCCTGACTTTTAGGAATATCAAAGGTATCAATTCCATCTACAAAATAGTTCTAATAAACTATGACCCACTGGAATCATATAATGCTTATTTTCCTAAAATTCACAGTAATTTGAGATTTCGGACATAAAAATTTTTATGTTCACAGTTGGTAAACTCAGTTTCCAACTGAGGCAAATTAAAATACGTACAGATATATACAAACACATATTTTTATATCTATCGATAGATCATAGATAGATACATGGATAGATAATAGATATATCTCCAGGTCTTAGAACAGAGGTTGGCAAACTTTTACTTCAAAGGCTAGATAAATACTTGCTCTGTGGGCCACGTGGTTACAGGTATTCAACTTTGCCTTTGTAGCACAGAAGCAGCCACAAACAATACATAAACACATGAGCATGGCTATCTATCTCTCTATATATAAAAGCCTAAGTGACCATCGCAACCGAATGGACGACCAAACAGGCTGCATGGGGCAACCAGGCCGGCAGGGGGCTTAGTTAGAGGCGACCAAACGACGAAGCAGCAGGCTGCGTGGGGCAACCAGGCTTGCAGAGGGGGGCAGATGGGGGCGACCAGGCCAGCAGAGGAT